GAGTTAGAGTTATAATCAGACACAAAAGCCTCATAAGAACATTATCTGATTGTTTATTGAGTGCAGAAGTTCCGTAATTGATATACCTATATAGTCACCTACTTAAAAGTAAATAGACCACATTTTAACCGCACGTGAGTCACAGACGGCGCGGATGATCTCGTTAACATAAACAACATTAATCATCCTAATATTGAATACAAAACTTTTTGTTAAGTAGAAAATGAGGCCGATAATTTGAATATTTATTAAATTTAGAAATGAGATACTCTCACTCGTAAAGCAAACGGCAAAGAAATGGCTGACTGTGTATAGTAGTCAGACAAGTTCAAAAGAACATATAAGTAACGGAATTGCGGCCACAACATGCTTTCTCATCAAACTATCAACCTAAAATTTTAAATATAAATGAAATCAATCCTTACGATGCTATAAATGAAACCAAACAGGATGTAGAATATTAAATCAATGAAATAAATATTCTGTCACGTAGCAGGACAAAAATCAATATACTTACATATATAACCGTAATCCTTGCGATACAATTTAGTCACAAACACTAAAGTTAATGAAGTATCACGACTTAAAAACACAAATGCTTATATAGTTTACACGGTCGATGAACAATTAATAGATTAAACTCTTATTGTTTGTTATTTAGATAATAACTTTGAAACGCAGACGACGCGCGTTCGCACCACGCGACTCAGTAACTGACTGATGACGTTAGGCACGGCGCGCCGGTTGACTTACCCTAAACAACGAAAGGACATAACAACCATGTTAAAGAAATATGTACTTTAAATCTACTTCTATAAATCCTGTTTCACCAAATGGTGAAATCAAGTTCCACTACTTAAGTTTCGCTCCACATGCACATTGTGTATGCCATGGCCGTACACATTTCTTTGACTTGAGAGAAAAGGCGAAAGGACATTGTGGCAAGAACGGCATCTTTTTTTTTGCGAGGTAGTAGGTAACTAATTAAATTGGATGTTGAAAGTATTATTGTTTATTCAAATCGTTACTTTCGTATCAATGTTACTTAAATATAGCAGATCAGCATCTAAGAGAATTACGACAAGATATTAATTTTCCGAGCGCCGTATGAAAAAAAATTACGAAACTGTTTGATCTTCGTGCTGGTCAAATTTAATTACAGTTTCTAACGCTTTTTGTTTAATGTTATATTTCATTTACCCTTTCTCTATAAGCTAAGCTTCATATCCGGCTCGAAGGACCAAAAAACTACATAAGGGTTACCGTGTTTCCGTACACAGATGTGTGATAAAAATGATAATAATTGATAGGTATGGTGAATTAGGAGTGTAAAAAAAAATGTAAAAAATAAAAAGTCACTTCAAATTACGGGCACGTGACCCTCACTACTCTTACTGTTTATACTCCCAAATCCAGCAGCACAAGCAGTGCTGCTTTACTTCCACTGCCTCCCCTTTACCTGGCTAAAGGAGGGATTACTTCCCCAAGTGCGCGGTGGACAATTTCGAGTTTGTAGCCAAAGCAGTTTGGGCTCTACGTTGATGAATCAATTAGTCAGGGCAAGTATCTAATTTTATATTTGTAGAAAATATAATTTTCGTAACCAATCCATAATCTAACGATATCTCCTAAGCCAAAATCCATAAAGCCACCGAAATATACATACACAACAAAACAGAACCAGGGCCAAGAGAAATTAGCTGGTACCCGCGACTTCTAACTATCGCAAATTTGAAAAGCGCTGCTTTTGGTAGGTTCGATTCCCGGCCCGGGCAAAGTTTTATAGGGTTTTTCTGAGAAGTAAAATAGCCTAAGTTACTCATTATATAGACAGCTACCTGGTATTAAAATATTATCAAATTTGGTAAAGACAGATGGAAAAGGAAAATTACACACAGACAGACAGACAAAATAATTTCAAGCTGGTTTTAGATAAATGTATTGTGCAAATAACCGTGTGAGCATGAAAAAACCTATTATTTTGGCATTACAAACATTGTATGGCTTTATAATAATTATAAATATATATATATATAAATAATATGTGATACATATATGTATTCTTACAAACAATAAATTAAATACACACCCTTCATTTTATTACTCGAAATGTGTCAAAACAATTTTGATTTGCTAAAGCAGTTACTCTCAATTGAAAAACACTCTGAAAGTGAAATGAACAATATATAACCCTCAATTGGATCTCTCAGTCCTCAGATATTGCATTGAAAATAATACAACAAACAGGTTCTTTTTTTGTTTAAGGAAAGGCAACCGGTTCTAATAGGAATTTAACAAACGGAGTTAGACATATGGCCATTAATATATCAATCAAATTTAGCAGGAATACGCAACAATAGCAGAAATCCGGGATGAATAATATGAAAGGGGTGAATCCGGGATGCTGTTTGTCCACCTTAATTTTCAATGTATTCATTGAGTGTCACTCATTCCAACAGAAACGGGATTTTTGTATAGCAAACTGTCAATTTCAAACCATTTGCAGATTTAAAATAATAATATTACTTTTAAGGTTTATTGAAATATTAAAATAACTAACAAGAAATAAAAGCTCTTTAGTACTTTTATTTCTTGTAACGATTACTAAAGAAAAAACTACTGATAATTAGCTAATGTCCAAATAGAAAATGTAATAATTTTTTTTAGGCAGTCTGAATTCTAATAAGAGACTTGTGATTTACATCTAACGGAATACAAAAAAAAACAATCGATAAATAGTTCCAAGAAAGACATGCGACGACATAAGCGTAGATATTGACAAAACAGAATGTTGTAATCTTGTTAACTTCTTCAGCTAAGCCAAGTTTGCTTGTTTTAGAAGTAAAAGTTCAAATGCGTATGTTTATTGAGATACCATGCATAATTACAAGGTGCACGAAGAAAGTCATGTACAAAGAAGTAATATTTAATGCAAAAGCAAGGGGTGGATCCGTTGAACATGTGGACCACTGCACTAAATAGTTTTCCACGTGAACGCAACTGTGGCCACTCATATGCGACACGCTAGTTCGTGTGTGAAACTACGGTGACATGTTTTTAGTTTGAAAATAGGATTTTTAAACTAAACTACTTGCTGTTTGAATTTCGAATGCCTTAGTTTTTGATCAGGAATTCATTATTAACCCAGTTTGACACTTAGAAGTGGAGCAGTATTAGTAATGGATATCCCTGTCCTAGCAACGACTATTTGGACCCACGCCTTTTTATTCCCGTTTCCTATATGAGAGTTGTTTTATATCTTATCCTCGATCTACCTGTTAACTAACCTTTAAATAAACTTTATTCCCTTGCGCTGTCCGAAAAAGAATATCTTCCCATGGACGGTGGCACCAAGTAGGCATCCAGCCATATTAGAAACTAGCCAATACTTTTTCAATATTAGACCTTAAATAAAATTGCAGAAAGGACAGGAAGAAAATGATTGATGAAGATGTAAAAGTTCGATTTTACTTAATTTCCCGTCCTGTGAACGCACAAATCAGTTAAAATCATTTCAGAAATATTCTTTAATTTCAATAATTACTGATAAGTATTATGGTTCCCTCCTTTCGAAGTTGTATGTAAAATAAGTGTTAAACATGGTCACTCTTTCTCTAACACCAAGGTGTCGCTTGGGAGGTCTGAGTAGGTAATGGAAAATTTCGTCGTGGAGGTAACACGACCAGTGGGCTTTAATTAATCAATGAACTGTAGAGTTTTGGTATACACATCAAAGTGCGTGTAGGTTTATTTAAGTAACGCATGATAAAAATATTATGGAAAGAATATACTCGTAGAATTATTATTCTTATTATTTTTATGGTATAAGGGGGCAAACGAGCAGACGGGTCACCTGATGGCAAGCAACCACCGCCGCCCATCGACACCCGCAATTCAAAAGTCACAAGTGCGTAGCCGCCCTTTGAGTCCCTCCCGCTCGAATCAGCGGGAGGGTGGATTTGGGCTCCGGTAACCTCAATCACTCAGTGAAAGGCAACGAAAGAATTGTTTAACACCGGTTTTCTGTGAGGCCGTGGTATCACTCCGGTCGGGCCGGCCCATTCGTGCCGAAGCATGGCTCTCCCACGGCAATTAATCCATAGATACTAAATTTTAAAAGTTGAATTTGAATGTCTGATCATTCATCAAACGTCATTGGACGCCCTTCTGTAAACTTAGCTTTTTAAATAAATAAGAAGAAGTTTTTTTACTATGCTTGGATTTTAAGAGATATCAATTTCATTTTAAAATTTGCTAATTTTCATTACTGTTCTGCGATAAGTTTAGTGAGATCGTTGGTTCGGATCTTTAACTAAAAGTTACCAGATTTACGTCGGCACACATTCATGACTGCCTAGAACTCAGAAGAATATGTGACAATGAAAGTTTTATGTTATAGGCTCCAGGTCCAGGCAGAACAACAGCACTGCAAAGAGAAGCAAAACTTGACACAAACCCTAAAGCCAACCCGTCTGGCCAGCGTGGTATAGTAGGCCAAAACGTCCTTTCTAAGGAGAGGCTTATGTCCAGCAGTGGACTATTAAAGGCTGTTGATGTGATGTGATGTGATGTGACGAAATACTCACACTTTCTGCATCCTTATGACTTTGTGTAAATGGTACGACCATAATCTACAACTAACAGAGATACTATTTTTCTAAATGAAATGATGATGAATGAATTAAATCCAGTAGTAAATTCTTGTTACTTTATTTTGCAAATTCCTAATTCTTTGCAGTGCTGTATTTGACCTGCGTAGTTTGCTCCCTTAGTTGAATCTTACGACACCCACGGGATGAATAGGGGTGGTGACACTCCGTATTCTTAATCCGTCACCACACGGACAATATAATATTAATATCCACTCCTAATATAATAAAAATATACTATGCAATTCTAAAACAATAACGCATATTGATGGACTATATGAGTTGGATTTATTTTAATTTAATCCCATTAAAATGATCCATTCATATTTATTTTATTCAAAATCAACCATCTTAAAGTATATTCGATTTTGATGTATCATTAATTCCTCTGTGTTCAAGCAAAGATTTCTCTGTCGCGATCTCGTTGTGCGAAGAACTGGAGAAGATTTCTTTTAACCGGCTAGTTTTAGTGGAGATCCAGTCTCTATTTCTCTTGGGTATAAGAACTGCCGCCGCTATGACGAAGATTGAGCACACTGTAACCGTTATTACCCAGCATAGAATATCGCTGCTGTCTGAAAAGAAAATTTATGTATTAAAAATAATACTAAAATCAAAATTCTTTATTTTAGTTTTGTTAGGTCTATCTTAGTCTTTGGAAGCATTATCCACTTTACAAGGAATATATTGATCAGTTATAAAAGGACCAGAAAAAAACATAAGTATTCTTAATTATCGCATCTGTGTTGTATCAGGCTCTTATGAGGAATCTTTAGTTCGATGTAAACTACTAAGCCCTCGGCGCACGCAGTTGTCATAACTTTTATAAACAAAATTTTAAATTACTGTTTAGACTCAAATACTATTCTCTCCAAAATTCTCTTTAGTCGTCAGAAGGTTTATTATTCCAAATCAATGAACCCCAAATAGGTAACAATATAATAAGAAATATTCCTAACCACTTCGAAAGCTCGCTTTAATAATTATGATATATTTAATATGAATTTCAAAGCTGTAAAAATGAACTATAATAAGCTATCCCCGGTGTTTTTTTTTAAATTTTATATTTTTTTCTTTAAATAGTACAACGATTCACAAAAAAATATTGTCGAAATCGGCAATCGGAAATCTCATCAGTTCGGAGAACCTTCTTTGAAGTTGGTTGCCCGTATTTCATGAGAAGAGAGAGGCTTGTGGAGATCTTGAGTTTTTAGTTATTAAAGAGTATTTAGTTTCTGCAACTGATTAATGACAGACTCCATGAATGACTCCAATCAGTCATTTATCAATCCACGATATATGTATAATGATGAGTTCTGATTATTGATGGCATTGGTTAAATTATGGGTAAGTCTAGCACAAGAGTGGAAGCACGTTATGATCACTTATAATCATTATGATCAGTCAGCAGAATATGATCAGTATAAATGTACGAGATTATGTACTTACTTTGTTGTGGTTGTTCTACTATTAATATGTCGTCGGTAGTGCTTTTAGAAAATTCACCCTCAAATGCCGTGGGCTTGGCTGCAATTGTCCATGGATGTAAGTCTACGATCTTGGGGTTTCTTATGTATAGAGTACAGAACCCTCTATACAACGACGTGTCCATTGTATATCCAGGTGGAAGGTTGTCTGAGGTGAAACCTGGTGGATAAGAAGTTTTGTTAAATAATATGAAAATAGTACACTTTAAGCGCTGGTTTAATTAGGTTTGATTGAATGATTAAATAAATAGCCATCTCGTTATTCCGTAAAAAATAAACTACACGAATTAAATAATAAGCATTACACCTGTAATTCATTGTTATGAAAGGTAAATGTAATAGGGGCCGTTTTATGATAAATGTTGTGATCATTGTTTGTGAAATTTCGGAACAAATTCAGCGCAGTCGATGATGCCTTTAGTAACATTTATAAAATTTAATATAGTACAATGAAATTGATTACAATGTTTACATATAAGCGTCAAATAGATTCCTCCTCATCATCGCCTATTGGTAGCGTTTACAGAAGACTGGCAGCATTTGTAAAATAAAATATTTCGTTGATACAACTTTACTAAGATTTCTGAAAAATTAAACTTAAATCCAGAAATCGAAAAAATACACCCCCTGGTGGTAGAGTTGGTACAAAATTATTTACAAATTGATTTGATTCATAACCAGATAGAAGGGCCTATACAGCCTTAAAATGTAAATACGGATGTCCTGACATTTACTGATGGCCTTAACATCCTGCTTTTTTAATAATTTTTTTCATAAGACGACTTCTTTGAATAGTGTTAGTTTGTTTTTAATGCATCATAGGATACTGAAAAACAATGCCTTAATAATTTTCTGTGTATTTCATATTCAACATTTTCTTTTGTTATTCAGAAAATTGATGAATATCGAAGTTAGAACATATCTCCGTGCACACCTGGCAAAAAAGAACAAGAACTTACCTAGTCCGTCACTCCTCACGAATCTGCAGTAGTCGAGAGCGTGTTCATTGTAGACACGCGCGTCCACTACAACCAACGAAGAATGTCTCCAGTAGTGACGAACTGTCATCTTAGCTGTTGGTCGAAGATATGACATCCATATTACTCCTTTTTTTTCCCGTCCGGAAATCCGTTCGGATACCACCTATCTATCAGTGGCATGTCGAACCGACTAAAACCGCACGCCGTCTCGAGTACTAATAGCCGGGGAACCAGGTATACCCTAGAAAGGAAGTCCCTGGTGCCCCGACATACCTCGGGCCATCTACATACGAGTAGACGACCCCCCCCCCGTGTAGGAACCCCGTGTTCCCTGTGCTCCCTGGAAGCGAGCGCGCTTCGCAACGCGCTCGCCGCCACCCCGGCCTGTGTATTACTCCTAAATAATTTCATATTGAAAATACGAAAGTGGTTTTATTACTTATAGGATTACAATAGAGATCTATAAAAGGGTTACAATACTTTTTTGCCATATTTTAGTTACCTCAACAATAAACATCTTAAATTAAACCATTTTTTTTTTTTTTTTGAACTATATCGTTTTTTATACCAATATGGCATTTTTCATACATTAAAAATGCTGCAAAGATGTAAAATGTGTCATACATACAAATTTTTTGAAACTACTACTTTCTATCTCTAACTAAGGATTTTAGAAAGATTCAAATGCCGCCATGACAGTTGCATTTTTTACTTTTTATTTTGCAGAGTAGTGTAATGTTTCAAAAATTATTTTGTTTTACTGCACGGATTTAGGCGTAAGCGGTCACCTCGCCGCTTACTAATGCGCCGAGTGTTGCGGGATCGATCCCTTCGGGCTTTGTGTGATCCACAAATTGTTGTTCTGAGTATTCTTTGTGTCCATTTCATGTGTGTATGTAAGTCCCCCGCGACATAGGATTTATTCCTATTGCGCGAGTTGTCTCTTTTATAAGATACGATTTGGAAATTCAACTCGTACATACGATATTACCTACCTATAATATCAGCATAGACTTTTGTCTGCAGTTCTCCAGCAGTAGTGTTGATAAGACCTACGTGACAGCTCCAGCCTTTAGCCTCGTCTACTGAGAACTTTTTAAATCGGATACCACAATCGCCTGCATCCAAGCCCGCTCCAATATACTCGTAATTTTCATCATGTGGCATTGCTAAAATATGCAAGATGTGAAATTGAATGCTTTTGTTTAGTTGCCTAAGATATGTAGAGAGAGAAGAAATGTACTAGTTCTCTAAGGTTAAGGTTATAGATAAGAAGACGGCTTTTAAGACATTTTACCGTTGATGTAGTATGTACTGCGCTAATGACCATTCCTAGCTCATAGAGATATCGTTAAGTATACTTTAAGACTTTAATATTAGCGGTTTTCATGTTGTAAAGTCTTAAAGTATACTTAGTTGCAGTCTTAAACATTGTAATGTAAGGATAAAACGTGTTTTACAAAATGTTAGTAAGTTTTTAAGTGGTTGTATACGTTAATGTTAGAGTATTTAGAGACGAAATGTAGTCCATAAAAGCCCTAAATAACATAAAAGTTGTAGTAAAGGCCGATATAATCACATTCTTTAACGGGATTCAGCAATGGTTTGAAATGTAACAGTCAGTACTTTACTATTCATAGTACATCATTATAATTAAGGAGATATATTTAGCATTTATGACATACTTACTTGGGAAAACATTATAGACAGTTCCATTATGCGCTCTGAAGTAGCAGTAACGGAGCGCTGAAGAGACTGAACATTGTATTGTCACTGGATCTCCCTCCATGTGCATAGGACTTCTATTCTTTAATACTGGTTCTAGGTGACAAAATGTATTTAACAGAATAAAGTTAATTTGATGGAGGGCCTGGAGGACCTGACTTTCCGGTACTAGCCAGATCCAGTAACAAGTTTGTGATTCTGCGATTCTCTAGCTATTTCTTACACTGAAGAGTTACGAATTGCCGTTGTAGTTGCTGGCCTTTAAGATAAAGGTACGTTCTTTCCTTGAAGTCTTGAAGGTCGTATCGAAAATACCACAGGCTATAAGCTTGGCACGTGAATAGGAAAGAATTATAGTTGGTAAGGCCTCGGCTGGTTGGCAAGGTCTACGCTTCTGCCTACATAACCAAAAGCACAATAATTTTTCTGACCCCTTAAACAAACGCTGGGTTGGGGGTCTGGTAGGCATATATTACTTGTTAACTTTAGATTCATACATCAAGGTTTACACGAAAACAAGTCTTACCAGTGACAACAGAAGCAGCATATGCGGGATCTTGCATCAGTTCAGGGACCATTACAGTAAAGAATCCATAGTACATGCCCGTAGAGGTATCTAAGGCACAGCGCCAGATGCCCAAGTCTAAGACTGATGGGTTGGTGATACCAAGCGTGCAGTTGTGGCTCTGAACTTCGGATTTGTAGCTGAACAATATAGTAACATATAGAAAACATAAATGTTTATAAGAAATTCCCTAAGTGACTTAAAGATGCTTCAAGTGAGGTGAATAATACTCATATTATATTTTTTAATGTTAACAATCGAATCGCAACAAATCGTTTTAAATACAATTATGTTGTTCTTAATGATGCTGTTGCTTTTTATGATGATGATCTAATATTTTCATCGACTGAGGCATACGACAGCATTATAGTCTTGCCTAAATAAGAAAACTAAAATGGCACAAAGTTTAAACCAATCAGCATTCCCTTTCCTAATGTTAGTGAAATGCCTAAACTTTAGTAAAACATTGTGCCACCGAATTCATTTTTTTTCTCCGGAATATAGTGTCTCTTTCTAGTTTAGGTGCATATTTATAAATAACATGAATTATCAGACCAATTTTTATGATCTTGTTTTTAATTTTTATTTTCAAAAATATCTGGACGTTCCGTTAACATCTTAGAAATTAAATACTTATGTTCATGTCAGTCATATCTCATGCGAAATATTATAATAGCTTTATTTAACATCTCAATCTGTTGAAAATTATTCCAATGAAGGAATAGTTTCCAAATAAAAAGAGCATGCTTATAGAAACATTTAGAAACTTCTTACTTTGCAATAGATCCATTGAACATGTACCCATCCTGTCCAACTCTATTAGCAGCGATTAGAACGTTGTATCTTGGATCCCGGAATTTGCAAGCACGAACCTCATGCTGAACAGGCACTGAGCACGTCAGCATTATTGAGGAATCACTCTTTGTCACAGTGGTTGTTACCGGCGGCTTTGTATCTGAAATTTTGTTTTATAATAGTATGTGGTCTGGTGTTCACATGATACAAAAGCAAAACCTTTGTCCAATTCAAAGTAACCAGTTTTTTTGATATAATTTTTCTTTACAAATTAAAGAGACTTTGGAAAGCGATGTTAATGTGGTATGAAGGCTCAAATATCTTTTTTTTTTAAAAGATAGAAATATTTTTTTTATAGAAAAGATAATTTTTGGTATATCGACATTCTTTCATAAATAAATCAAGAACTTGTTACCTCTATTACGTACATGAACAACGAAATCATACAGGTTCCGGAGACGTACTGAGCCAGGTAATGCAACTGTGACGCTCCAGTACCCTTCATGGTGCATCATTACTCTGTCCAAGACTATTCTGCACTCGCCGAAATTTTCAAAGAGTATTTGATTATAATTCCAGATCACACAATATACGGCGCCTTTGGGACCCACTGTCATATTAACTGAATCACCAACAGTCCAATATATATCATCTAGATTGAGCTCCTCCAAATCTGTTACAAAACATATCTATCATTCATAAAGTACAGTCATTTTGGGTAATTTTAAATTGCGGTTTAACTTTGAACAAAGTTGTGAAATAGATTAGAATTATCAATTTATGAAAAGGAGACTTTTGTTGTTTCTATATCGTAACTGCGTAAAACGGATCGCCCAAATCCTTATTTAATTTAAAAATGAACTGTCCAATAAAAAATTACCCGCCTTTTTCTTAGTGAAGTAATCAGGTTCTGACACAAAACACCATCTACTTTCAAACTAAGCAGAGCTTGTACTATGAAAGCTAGATTGACTGATATTATTATATAACTGATATAATATAACTGATACTCATATAATTTTATTTGTAAATACATACATATTCTACATAGAAAACACCCAGACTCCGAAACAAGTATTTGCAGATCATACAAACTGGAGATCAGGTCATTCAGACCCGGGAATCGAACACGAGACCGAGGCAGCGAAGTGAAGGGAAATGACAGTACTGTATCTGTACAAGCGATATCTCTTACGTAACATTGCCTTCTCATATTACCAACTTTTCCTTTCATATTGACCTAATTTTCCCATCTAATTCCTGAAGAGCCCGTTTGACCGCAATAGACTCCTTTCTTATAACGTTAGTGGGACTTAAAGTACAGTCGGTAAAAAGTGGGCGTTTATTACCCCTTCGATAAAGGCCTGAGTGAATGAAGACTGAGTGAATGATTACGTATAACGATTTTACATTAAAAACTAGCTATACCCTGTCATGGTTCACTGTGGCACAATGTGGTTGCATTGATGAGAGATGAAGAACAAAACTGACGGGAAAAATATATTAAAAACCAAAAATTGAAGCGGATTGTATATCGTGTCGAAATGACGGGCGTGTAATACCTTCCTACCTGTTTCTGTTTCTACCTATTACCTGTCTATCCCTTCAGGGATAAAAGACTTAGATGTGTATGTGTTTTTATGTAATGTAACCCAAAATGGGATTTATGTGAAGTAATATTAAAAATATATATTTACTTATGATATGAACATTAACGCTTCCTCTTCTTTTTATTTTGTTGCCGTACTCGATGACCCAAGTTCCATTGTGCGTTCGATCCGCATTTCGAATCATATAACCACATGTAAGGGTGTACATCGGGTCAATTACAGCATCAGTGTATTCCGTATCGTTAGGTCCATAAAGCATACACGTTTCAGGCATAGATGGTTGTACCACACCATATAGATGTAGGTAAAGATCCTGACCTTCCTTGATATATATGTCATCTTGTATAACAAAGTTTTCTGAAAAAAAGAGGTTACTATAAAAACAAGTATGACATTTTTCGTTCAAGTGAACTACTCCGGAATGGACTTTCATGCTTGAATTCAGGACGTCCGGCTACAAACCGTTTTGCATAAATATAACTTATATACGTAGTAATAGTGGTATATCTTACTCTTGTATAAAACTGCAAGTTGTATAAACAAATAATTCAAGTTTAAAAACAAAATTAAATGTCCTGTAATCATTACCTTCTATTATAATACTGAAAGTGAGCCGTCTTTCATCGAACAGCACTCCATTTCTAAACCTGCCGACAACGTGCCATTCACCGATTGCTTCCTCAGTAATAGAATTAATGTTAATTTGACAAACTGTATCTGATCTACTTAAAGTTACCCTTTTATGCAAATTTGTATTATTTATTATTGTTCCTAAGGGCGATGTAAAAATACAATTCTCTATTGTACCAGTTTCTTGCGTAACTTCTACACTTAGGTTAGTTCCCATTTGAACCAAATGCTTTTGACTTTGCAGTACAGTTACATTATAGGCTTGATGATATGGTTTGTCCTCGTCTGTAATAATAAACCTCTTTTAGTTAAACAGGAATGTTTTGTTAACAATATAGACAGTTTAAAATAACTCACTGTAAAGACTAAGAGTCAATGGAAGGCGAACTTCGGTTTGTTGCAATACTGATCGAAATTTGCCATAAATAAGCCAGTTGCCCAACATGTCTTCTGTAATGTTCTTGAGTAGAACACTACACAATAAAGGATTCATAACACTGCCTCTTTCAACGTGTGGATATTTTACGTCAGTTGTAATTACCAAGTCTTCGCCACCTGGAGTGACGACGTGGCAGGTGGTAACGTTGCCGCTGCCAGAGATACTAGATTTAACAGAGCCACCAACTTGGATGGCGTGAATAAAACTGCTTTCATTAGTGGCAACCCAATTCCTTTTACCGTGATTGTTGTCTATGAAAAACATATTTTTGATATTATACCTTTTACAGTGATTCATATGTTATAAGAAAAGAAAGGCATTGGGATTCCATAAGGAGGGAAGTCACTTGGTGCAATAAACTTCAGAATCATCATCAACAGCTTTCAATTAGTTCACTGCATGGACATAGGCCTCTCCTTAGAAAGAAGGTTTTGACCTACTTTACCAGGCTGACCAGACGGGTTGGTATAGGATTTGAGTCTAGTTTTCCTTCTCTTTGCGGTGCAACTTTTGTCTTGAGTTTTCGCCTATAGTCGGATCTTACGACACCCATGGGATGAATAGCGGTGGTGACACTCCGTATTCTTGATGCGTCACCACAAGGACAAAGCTTAAAGAACGGACACTTAGTTTTTTAAAAACATAATGTTTCTATTTATCCTATGGGGTTCAAGATTACAGTGATTTTGATTTTTCATTTGCAGGTGCATGTGGATCTTGTTCATTAACAATTCATTAACAATTTATTACAATTGTGTCTGAATATAATACTTCATAATAGTGAGAAAAGAAAAGTAACATATAATCTCTAAAAACAATTCACATTAAACCATCTAAAATAAGTTAAAACCATTTCAAAAATACATATAACATTCACAACTCCAACCAGTCATATTAACAAAATGAATGTCACTCGATGTCAAAAATAATAATGTCAAACAAAATAAATTAAATTTCAAACAGTTACTTAATGCAAACTAAATGTCAGTTAGAATTGTCATGTCAAAGGAAACAAGAGATCACACAATAATTATATCCCTAACATGTCCCTAGGATTTTAATGTCAGTTACAAGATGAGCCAGTAAATTTATTTACAGAATAATAACATTTACTTTATTTATATTTATTTACCAATAAGAAGGCTTTAACTCTTTTTTTAAATATGTGTGTCTTATAGATTTCCATTTTTATTTCTGCAGGTAGGCAATTAAATAGTTTCACACTTTGATAACGCGCACAATGCTTTGCTATATTTAATGTTGGTATAAAATTGTTTCTCAAGGTCTTTCTTCGAGTACTCTCTCTGATTAACCTTTCATCTTGAGTTTCAAAATCAGTAATGATTTTGACAGTTGGCTTAGTACGGTCAGTATGTATAAACAAGGAACTGTTAGTATGGATAGTTCTTTGAAATGCTCTTTACATGACTCCCACTGCGGCAGTCGGACCATAGTTCTAATTGCCCGTTTTTGTATTATGAAGGCCTTTTCACAATTATACTTGTAACTATTACCCTAGAACTGGATACTGTATCTTAACCATGATTCGACTAGAGCACAATATACAGTCCTTAATTGACTGATGTTAACTTCTTCTCTTAAACTCCTAAGGGCATAGCAAGAAGTTGATATTGTTTCCTCAATTGCATCTAGTCCTCTTTGCCAATTCAGCAACGAGTCTATATGTACGCCTTTTTTTATTATTTTTTTGAATGCGGAAACCCCTCGGACACCACCTGTCGGTGGCATGTCGGACTCGAACCGACTAAAACCGCACGCCGTCCCGGGCACCAATAGCCGGGGAACCAGGTATACCCTAGAAAGGAAGTCCCCGGTGCCCCGACACACCTCGGGCCGTCCACAACAACAGGCAGACAACCCCCCGTACTATATGTACGCTTAAGAATTTGACTGTGTTTACATTGACAATTTTGTCTCCCATTAATTGACAATGTAAACACAGTCAAATTTTTAGGCGTACATTTTGTGTATTAGAAAGTACACTTATAAGAAATCATTGTACTGCATGAGGAAAAATCATTAGGCACAAATAAACCTACCTACCTTTGTCTTTAAGACATTGAATAACTAAGTAAAATGCTCATAACACGTACACCAAGTAATAGTAACGGGTTGGCATCGCATTTCACCATTATTTTCAGACATGCCACATAAACTCCACCTTCCCACCAGACCGTCATCCAGTGGTCCTATAGTTATCCTACACGATACATAATCAGTTCTGTGCTGAACGGTAACTCCCTCCACTTTAAACAACGACGCCTCTACTATCGTGCCATTGGGAGGCTGTATATAACAAACTTCAATAAAAGATTTCCGGTCTAAGGATATGTCTACAACATTTTCCTTTCTTGTGAAATGGATGAGCTCACTCAACCAATATATGCTGAGGTGTTTGAAAGCAGTGTTATTGTATTTTGTATCTTTCTCCGCTGTTTTTGTCATCATCATATCATCAGTTACGGTAGTGTGCACTCTACCTGGAACAATTAAAAAAATAATTAAATCATGCTACCTGACATTAACATTTTATTTTTATTCTTCGCTCTTAAAATTTTGAAACAATAAAATGCTAAAATCATTTTTCTTTTCTTTTAAAACAACTAACAACGCCCTTATAATAAATACTGTGTCGCGGGGGACTTTACAAACATACATGAAACGTACACAAAGGACACCCAGACTCAGAGCAACAATTTGTGGATCATACAAAGTGTTGTCCCACGTGGGGATCGAACCCACAACACTCAACGCAATAGGTAGCCGCGAGGTGACCGCTTAAACCACTACGCCACCCGTGCAGTAATTTAATAGCTTATACTATTAAGACAGCCGGCTATATTAACTATATGTTGATTTGTTTCTTACATAATATTGCTACTTTTAAAAGAATTTTAGACACATGGAAAGTAACGTAGGTACTTTTTTTTATTTTATTAATAGAGCAAGCATCCAATATAATAACTAAACAATACAATACACTAAGATTTGTAAGTCCGTGTAGTGACGGATTAAGAATACAGAATGTCTCTACCCCAATTCATCCCGTGGGTGTCTTAGAGCCAACTAAGGGCGCAAAACAACGCATTACACCAACACTTCAAAAAGAAGGAAAACTTGACACAAACCCTATACTAACCCGTCACCCGTCCAGCGTGGTATAGTAGGCCAAAACCTCGTTTCTAAGGAGAGGCCTATGTCCAGCAGTGGACTATTAAAAGCTGTTGACTGAAGATTTGAAAATAAAATACCAAAAGTAATCAAAAACAAAATTGACAAATTGGCTCTGACAAACGGTACTACAAAGGGACTAAGTACTTATATTTTCTACTTGTTGTTAGGTACAAAATGCTAGACTGAAACTAATTGAGAAGATCAGTGTAAACATATTCTAACCCTGTTATTGTGGGTGTTTATAGGGGAATGAATACCAACCCTAGGACAGATTTTAAATAACTAGTTAGTTCATTTTACGCGTTTGTTGGAGCTCTAAGCGGATGGGAGCGAAACCGAAACATGTGTAACAAGACTTTTTTCCGACACTTCGGGTCGTCAGGGCACTCGGGGTCGAAAATTTCTACCAAAGGTACTTCGTTCCGACTGGGGGTACATAAACCATTGTTAATATATCGCTTAACTTCTACTAATATATATTACATATAATTAAAGTTTTCATAAAGAAAAAAAAAGAATATTTTGCAACCAAGTTGCGTGAAAAAAAAAACATAGTTTGTGTAGGCGTTTAAAGAGGCGTTTACACCCCCGTATGAAACTGAGAAGGGTGGCTAGTAAACACTATAAATAAACCTACCTGTAAAAAGTATAGCGAAAGTCAAAAAACACAACATGATTTGGATGGAAAGTATTACAGACTGTGAAATAATCACTGATTGTTATCAATCGCACATTGAAACAGTCGTCATATCTATCTGACAGATAATAATTCAACAATCACATAAATATTAATAGATATAAATAAAATTGAAGTGACTGTGACTCGCAGGTTTTTTTAAAATTTCAAATGACTATTTACATTATAACAACGTAACGTACAAAATACACCTTTATGATAATAATAATAACTTCACACATTTCCAACACCGCAAACTAGTCTGATCCCAAACTAGGCAGATCCTGTACTATAGTAATTAGACTGCTGATGAACATACTTATACATAATGATATTAAAAATAATAATATTATAAATAATTTACACTCAGACACAGAGTAAACGATCGTGCTCATCACACAATTACATATATGTATTAATCCCACCGGAATCGACTCATCATAGGGGTGAGTGGGTTCGATTCCGTCTTAACAAGTAGAGTAACTAAAACGTTCTTTACAAATGCAGATAGAACAACAGATAGTAAAATATGTTTTTATTTTTTACATGTTCCTACAATTATTGTCAACGCTACAAGTTACGAACATGTCAAAACATGTTCGAAGAGAGGCGCTCACGCACGCCACACTTTTATGCATATTGAGATTAAGTTGATTGGTAGATTGATAAGATTGCGTTGAAAGGTGAAAACAAAATTTAAAAAATATTTATAGTTTAGGTAAATCATGCTTTAGCTAAAGCAGTGCAGTTATTGCTTGGCTTCGATATAGCTACCATCAGTTTAAAATAATTTTAGTCCACCCAAAGGTTGCATGCAAGAAATTGCTGGATAAAATATCTATGCGATAAGGCTTATCGCTTAGAGATTGTAGAGATTTTTAACCACTTTTCTTACTGTACATTTTATGCTTTATAATGCCTGTAAAACCCGGTGTACAAATAAACTGTTATCTATCTATCCAAGATTTTTTTTAAGGAACTTCATCCTTATCTAATGTCAAATAGGTTAAGTATAAACAATATATATGAAAATACAAAAATCTGATAATGCTGACGCACTCTTTTAAAACATGCAGTACATCAAAACTTTAAAAAATTGTTGTAAACGCCTGGAATACTTTAAATCAGAGTAAAGAGTTTTATGTAATAGTGGAGCAAATGAGCAAGCGGGTCACCTGGATGGTAAGTGGCTACTACTGTTTGAATTTTACAAACAAATGAGATATTACAAGTAAATGAAATGTCATGTAATAAGTGTCTTTCAAGAAATGAATGTACTACGGATCTGATGCAGATTATTAGATTTTCATTGTCAGATTAATAGGTATTTCATCAATTTAATCAAAATATAAAACGAGATTAAGTTTAATGACTTGTCTCGTAGGAAATTAATAATCACTAGTGTCCTCATTCATATTTTGTAAAAAAATTCTCTGTCGACATTAAGTCATTAATTCCGCCGATGCATGTACTTGTGCAAAAAGTTATAAATTAAATAAATTAATTAACAGTCAGTTGTGACATTTTTTATTGTTATTTAACAAATAGGATTAAAATATAAATGAAGAGTATGGAGTGTAAATGCAAGAAGAACCAATATGGGGGAAAGTTGAAAAAGTGTCCAACTGTATACTGAACACAGAGGTCGCTGCCGTACGATATGAACATGGCAGTTGTAGATGGAGTAAAGTGTGCCGAGTTCAAATATTATAATATTTTTATTGTCTCAAAGTTATTACACGTTTATTTATTGTCTGTAAAACTCATTGATTATTTTCGCAGTATAGTACACAGTGCCTAATTATTATTTAAGCTAAAATAAATTTATCCTAGGCGACCGCAGCGCCACCCTTATTGGACGCGTTTTTACGTACACTTTGCATACACAGAGATGGTTCTCCTTGCCTCTGCCCTCCATACTGGACAGCGAGACTTTACACTTTAACATACGTGATTGACAAATATCACCGAATGTTAATAGTGATTCTTACATTGTTGTTTTTAAATTATTTAAGAACAACCATGAAAGATCAAACGCGTTTATGAGAGATTCAGTATTATGAAAACTTCATAGCTATTAATTAATATTACTTAAAATCATGGAATAGAATCTTGCATCAAAGGTAAATATCCTTAAAAATCGTAATTAAAAAAGATCATTGTAAATTTTTGATAAACGAATTAATTATATTATTATTGAGATAATACTTTTTAGCATATACTATATAAGGAGCAAACGAGTAGACGGGTCACCTGATGTTAAGCAGCTACCGCCGCTCATGGACACCTACCATGGACAGCTACAAGTGCATTGGTTTCGGTGACCCCTCCCTACTAAAGAGGGCTTGGGGAGCGAGTGCTTCTGTAACCTATAGTGTAACTAATAGGCTCCTGTAACCTAATGGTAACTCACTCGGTGAAAGCTACGAACGCGACGAAGCGTTTAACACCAGGTTTCAGTAAGGAAGTGGAATCATTTCGATCGAGCTGGCCCGTATGTGCATGGCTCTACCACCATAAATAACATAGGGCTGAAGCTAAAAAAATAGGGCTCCCGGTAAATTTACCTTTTGAGACTACCGAATTACTGAAATAGGGGTTAGTGGTCTTCCCCGTTGGGCGTTCAAGTTGACGTTGATGCTGAGGCACAGTGGTTCCGGGAGGCCATGACCCGCGGCTGCTCCTCAACATGAGGGGACTCGATGGCTCTTACAGGAGACTCTACTCTCTTTCTAATTTTGAAAATTGAAAAGTTGCCGCTACTAATATTTAAGTGATTAAATCTTCAATTATCTGATAATAAGTCTCAATTTAAGAAAAAAGGGAATCGACATAATACGTCTGAGAACGATCATTATAAAGGTATATATATACGACAAAAGAATAGTCATCACTTATGTTATCCATGCTCAGGATTATATCAAATGAACATTTTTCTTATCTACTGACACAATGCTATGAGTGACATTCGTATCAGACATGTGCCATGGCTGATACGAATGTCAGAACATTATGCTGAGGATTAGTGTTTATTATATTCATTTCTAAGGAGAGGCCTATGTCCAGCAGTGGACTGTTAAAGGCTGTTGATGATGATGATGATGATATTCATTTTAATAAAAAATCTTTCTGTGAAGCTACTTCTACTGGGGGTCGATTATTGTCTAAGAATATAAAAAAAAATAAAAAATTTCACCTTAATATCTTTTTTCCATTCCTTTAAATTAAATTTATTTATGTTGTTAAATCTTTATTATAAAAGGCCCTCAGATGCATGGCGACTGTTTCTATTCTTTGTTTGATAGACTATTAAATTTATATGTAGATAAAATGCTAAACGATTATTTTCCAAACTTATCTTCCTAACGACTATCGATAAACACTAAGGCGATGCCTAGATCCTGATGTAGTTTATCAATGAACGATTAGCATTCAGACTGACGAGGACAGATTTTCTATCAAAGCATTAGGTATACCTAAAAGATTGAAGAAGAAATAGACAAATTTTTCAAATACATATATCATTTCTTCAGAGTTTAGAGACCTCGGTTTTTAAGGTCAAATTTACAAAGAATAAGCTCATTCACGATAGATAGTTAATCTTGTTACCAAGCCCAAAAAGTGAGACTCGTCAACACGAATCATATGCTCAAACTTGATCGATTAACTATTGAGCGGTATACTACTGTAAAGTTCCACTATTCACCTCCTTACCCCAACAATTTATCAGCTTCAAGAAATATTTAGGATACTATTTAGGATAGTAGTTTTTAGTAGGATATAATACGATTTAGTCTCTACGAAATCTCGTGATCAACGACTGCATACCTCTGGAGACTTTTAAAATATCGTGGAAATTTTGAGTGATTGACCTCTTTTTGGAAAATTCCGTTAGGTTAGCTCGCTACTCAATAACAGAGAGCGTTACGAAGTAGAGCGACCGCTTCAGTAAAAACACAGATTCTAAGTTTATTTTACGTAGGCATGTATGTACACATTAACGTATTTACAAACTGTGAGAAATCGACAGGGTCCTAGAGGCCTAGTTGTTCCATATTGTTTGAAGTTCTTTGTGTCCGTTACTTAAAAGTTCTTAAAATCCACCAAGACACAGGAATCACTTTTGCATTGGTCTGTATGTTTCTTGGTTCTATGAGATAGCTGTAGTCAGACGAATTGCGACTTCATAAGGATATCGTTAGATGCTGTTCTTATACTGTGAGAGGGACGTTTTTTTATGGTAGAGTGCAAACAAACCAGGGTCACCTGATGGTTTGTGTGTACCGCAGCCTGGTATCGTACACGATATGCAAAAGTGAAAAGTAAGAAATGAAGCAAAAGAGATGCAACGCAATTTTCTTTTCTTCAGTATTTTTTTCTTTTTTTTTTTTCTTTTTTAAAAAAGACAACTCCCGCATTAGGAATAAATCCTGTGTCGCGGGGGACTTTACAAACATACACGAAACGGACACAAAGAACACCCAGACTCAGAACAACAATTTGTGGATCACACAAAGTGTCGTCCCATGTGGGGTTTGAACCCACAACACTCGGCGTAGTAGGAAGCGGCGTGGTGACCGCTTAAACCACTACGCCATGCGTGCAGTCAAAGTCAAAGTTTTAAATAAATATAATGTTTATGTATTGACAAAAAACGTATGTGCTGCACGCTGCTGCTTAGTTTTAGCCTGAATGGCGATACAGGCCGTTCGATGGTGGCTATTTTTATTCAAATGTATAACTAGTCGTAAACATATGATGACATTTATTGTTTATATGAAATGTGAGTTCTGTTCTTAGGATTCTCTTCCTATCTCCTACATTTGCTGTACTCGACTGGATTCATAATGGCACCATACCCAAATAGGCCTGACCAAAACCTTTTATGAAATTAAAGAGTGCAATAAAAGTTGAATTAACATATCCTGGGCTATATTATTATAAATAATGTTTTGTCTTCATGAATAATTGCATTTTTAATTGTTATCATATACCAATGCAGTCTTATCATAATTATATATATTAATACATATATGTACCAGTTAAGTATAATATACTATCTCCTAATTGAATTTTAGGACTGTTCAACTATAATTGTAATCAGATTACACAAAGGCTCTTCATACACAAAGGAATCATTGTCTGCAATAATGATCAAATATTTTTAACTAGGATTCTCAACCAGCACTGCAGGGATCACATTATCTGAGTCACTATCATCAGAAGTAAAAAAATAAAGACAATAACATCTCCACACATTAATTTACAATACAATAACAATGAGCTGGGTCTTTTTAAACATTGTAAAGTTCTACCCATTCACATAAAAATAAAATATAGTTTGTTGAAAGAAAAGTATTTTAAATACAATTTGGGTGATAAAGTAGAACATCCTGTATGTACACGAGCAGTCTCACTAAACAGCTTGATGACGACACGCGCTGTTAACGTGTTTGGTGAGAGAACAACACGATACATAGTACCGCGATTAATTAATGAACTACCCTCCGATATAAATAAATGCCTAAACGAAAAAAATATCAAACATAATTTGAAGGAATTCTTTTTGGAAAACATGGCCTAGTCATCTTTGTAAGTAATCCCTCTTCCTCTCCTTGCCTGACTCGGAGTTCACTTCACCGTTCTGCGCCCGTACGCTTAAATTTTATAATTATTTTAAAAGTACCTACATAATGACGCATGTATTTTACTGTATGGTGTTAATTTGTATCAACCTCGCTTGATGTAGCATCTGTTGCATTTTTTACAAACCTCAGTGGTTTTCAAATGCACTATTATAATCAGTAGTTGTAAATTGCTTTGTAATATGTTAAATAAATAAAAAAAAAAAAAAAAAGTATTTGAGCCAAAACTACTTGTGACTAATGGACTGAAAAACTGAAAAGCTGACAATAAAAATTGTCTATTCTGGGTAATTTTTGTTTACTATCTTCTCTTGGCGTTTTTTGCGCTTAAACGCTAGGTTTTTTTTTTAGTATCTTAGATCTCTAAATTATCATATTACAGGGAACAAGAAACGTAATGTAATGCTACGCTACGAACCATCGTTGGGGAATCCCTGACAAAATTTTTACATCGATTAAGGTTGATACGATCGAGAGACAGTGGTACCAAACCTATACTACAATGTACTAAAAGAATAGCGTTTCTCAAGTAAAAATATTTTTTTCTAGTGTATACTGGAACTCGAATACTTGTAGTAATTTTTTCAAGTAACAGTTTAGAGAAAAAATAAATTAAAATAATAAAAAGTTTTTTATAAAAGATTTTTGTTGCAATAAAGATTTAATTTATTTATCGGATTATTTTTTTAGATCTTTTCTTTGTCGCCTCAACCCGCTAAATGTGACGTCGAATCTTTCAAGTTGACAACACAGCACAAACAACAGAAAGAATGCGCCCCAGCATGGGCGGGGGCCCGGAGGTACCGCACGATATCCTTTGAGGCGGCGAGTCTCCTGGCCTGAACTCCACCGTGGGACCTGGAAGAGAGAGCCCTTGCGGTTCTGTATCGGTGGCGCAAGAAGGCGCGAGAGTTGGGTCGGAGTCCTTGTGTCTCATAAGCATTAATAAAATGCCAATGTTAAGTTCAATATCTTTTTTCTGGTTCTCTGTAGTTTTTCAAACATTTAACGAGATCATTTTCTTATTATTATTTACTAATATACCAAATTAAAAAAAAAACAGTAACTCTATGACCGGCAGTACTTAAAGGCAGCTGGACTGCACGAATGGCGTAGTGGTTTAAGCGGTCGCCACGCCGCTCACTACTAGAATGAGTGTTGTGGGTCCGATCCCCACATTGGGCTACACTTTGTGTAATCCACAAATTGTTGTTCTGAGTCTGGGTGTTCTCTGTGTCCGTTTCATGTATGTTTGTAAAGTCCCCCGTCACACAGGATATATTCCTAATGCGGGAGTTGTCTTTTAAAACAAAAAAAATGGATCTGCCCGTACAGTGCTTTTAATGACACTAAACATTTCAAAAATGATAATGTCGTTGATGCGTTTATAAATTTCGTGAGCACTTAATACAGGGCTCTTTGATTCTTTATCAAACTACAAAACATTTAAAATACATAACAAAGAATCACCAAAGACTTAAACTTAGCACGAAACGATCAACTTGAAACTGATTAGCATTTGAGCAGTTATTGGAAATTAGAGACCACATCACTCCACTTCTGTCATGCGATTTCTAAACACCTGTCCAGTCTGATATTTTTTGTCATACGCTGCTGCTGGATAATCAAGAAATGACTATCAAAATCCTTATCGGTTACGCAGTAAATTAGTGTAATTGTCCAATAAATAGTGTAGACTTGGTGATTTTGACACAGTTGTGGTTAACTGTTATCAAAATGAGGTTGTGTTACGGATTGGCGCTGGCCATCCTAATCACAGGTAGGATACTTTTTACTGCAACTATTAATTTCATAAATCAATCACTAATGAATATTAATTTCTTAGTTCAAGCAATGACTTATGGAGAGATTTTGAAAAGTGTTTGGTCAGGCGTCAACTTCCTGACCAAAATACATTTTTTTCTTAAATAAAAAAAATAATATCTTTGTTGTCGTCAAAGTTCCATGACTATTTTGATTTGTCATTTTTTGTGCTTCTGATAAGGCTTCCAATCGGCAATTGTGTGATAAAAGAGCCTCAAGTACGAGTAACTCGAGGGAGGCAGGCTTTTTTCATATTTTTTTAAATGTTTTACAATAAAGGTCGTTTACAATCAACATTTATTTATGAGAACGAGCAATTAATGTCACTGCCAAACAGCCTTGTCATGTTAGCCTTGTATGATAATATCATTCCTCTGATAATCATAGAGGTGACCATATAATGCAACAAATTGAATGCCACTCCATACCACTCTCAGTCTGCACAGATATTTCTCTTCACACCTTTTAGACATTTTCACAAGCTAACCGTTTGTAAATTGTATTATTAAGTGTATGTTTCTTGGGTCGGCAGCGATATAATCTATTAAGTGTAGGATTTTTTTGGAAAACAAACACTTGAACATCATCAATCATCATCATCAACAGCCTTTAATAGTCCACTGCTGGACATAGGCCTCTCCTTAGAAAGGAGGTGAACATAATGCTTTGTATTTACTCTATTTCTACGAAGTCAGTTTGCAACGTATTGGATTTGTGATAAGGCACAGAAATGTGCAACTCTTGTGAAAGTCAAATTTTGTATCAATGTTTAAAAATGTATACATATATGTATGTAGAATTTTTAGACATTAATAGAAAATTATACATATGCATTTACATAGCATATAAACCATGCCGTGTGTTTTCGACCAAGTGACGACATGAGTTGACTGGTTTGAAACCAACCAAGACAGCTTTTGGAGGTACCGTTGAAGCTCCTGTATTCATATGTTAACACATTTCCACCACCTCTTTGACCAGAAATAGGTCAATGATTTAGTGTTAAGCGTAATTTAGTGACAATTAAATTTCTTACAAATTTTCACAATTACATTACTAAAAGTATGTACAATGGTATAGTTTTCCTTTTGAACAAACAATAAACAATAAAACAATAAATGAAAATCTTTAATGTTTTAGGTAACGTGCAGGCATCTAATGACGAAAACGCTGAAAGAACAGTTATAGAAGATGAAAATGCTGACATAAAACGTTTTATTCAAATATCACATACCGTGAGAAGGAATAGCTTTATAGATATTACTTTGAACACGGAATCCTTTGAAGAAAAGTGCTATGTTCGACCTCCAGATGGACAATTAACCCAAACTGATAAATTTGCAATGGAAGGGGTACAGGTACGACACAAAAGTAATTTCGTCTCGTGCAGGATTACGATTGGACCGATGATTGAGGATTTGCTAGGAAACTGGGAGTTATGTGGTAAATCTACAACCACCGAAGAAATGCGCTGCCAACCGATTAATATTATTTGGGGTGAGTTTTTGTGATAATTATGACTAATTTATAGTAGAACGACGTCCCAGGAGTAATTTGTAGCGTGTAATTTGTTAAAATAAAAACACACCAACTTATAACTGCGTTTTTCCCCCTTTTTTTTTTCCGTGCGGAAATCCCCTCGGATACCACCTGTAGGTGGCATGTCGGACTCGAACCGACTAAAACCGCACGCCGTCGCGGGTACTAATAGCCGGGGAACCAGGTATACCCTAGAAAGGAAGTCCCTGGTGCCCCGACATACCTCGGGTCATCTGCAGACGAGTAGACGACCCCCCACGTGTGGGAACCCCATGTTCCCTGTGCTCCCTGGAGGCGAGCGCGCTTCGCAACGCGCTCGCGCCACCCCGGCCTGCTTCTGCTAGGGTGACAGATGGCCTCACCTGTCATCCCCAGGCCTGCGCTTATGGAGGACGGAGGTCGTTCTGCAACCTCCGGCGCCTGAGTTGCCTGCGGTACCTGGCCCGTTCCCGGGCACTGCGATTTTCCCCTCAAATGTAGTATCAGTAGATTTCATTTCGGTCTTAACAAAAACAGAAATATAGACTTCGTTGTTTTAAAATTTATAAATAAATTGTTATTTTAACGTCTACTATAACAATAATATAATATTCCACCACATTCACACAACGCCATCTGGTCCCAAACTAAGCAGAGCTCGTACTATGGCTACTAGACAACTGATATAAATACATATATACTTTTTTTTTGTAAATACATACATATTATAAATAGTTGTTCATGCACACAAATGTTTGACTTGAGCGGGAATCGAACCCGCGACCTTTGGAATATCAGACCGTTACACAAACCACTACGCCATCCGGTCGTAAGCTATTCTATAACTATTTAGCTTTACTATACTATAAGCTGTAAGTGATCATCGAAAATCTTTTCCGCCACTTCTTTTCAACGAGTAGGGAGTAATTTATAGTAATAAAACAACGAACGGTAACGAAACCATTAAACCGACCAACCCCACCTATTGAGACACGAGGTAAACTTTTCTTACAAAATTGATTTAATGGTTAGGTATGGTCTATTACATTTCATGACGCGAACATTATATACATACATATCATATCACATACATATACATAAGTCATCAGTTTGGTTTGCAACTTAATATTTTATTTATTACAATTTTAAAGGGTTTTCTAAGAAGAAACCTAGCCTAAGTTACACCTTATATAGACCTGGAAGCAAAGTATTATCAAAATCGGTCATGCTGTTACGAAGATTACACGGAACAAACAGACAGACAGAAAAAAAGCATTAAACTGGTTTTTAGCCATAGGTATTCAAGTGCAAATAACCATGTGAGCATGAAAAAACCTTGACATTAAAAACAGACACTTCAAATTTATTTATTTGTATAGACTAGTACTATCGATATTAAGTTCCACCAATTCTACACGCTCTCAGAAATACAAAACTAAACTATTTCTGGTTAAACACGACCTTCTGTAAAGCTGAAGTTGTTGGTCATAATCAAGTCTGTTCGATAAACTCGATTTGATACAACTATGTCGATGTTGGGAATTACCTATGGCAAACATGATATTCGAAGACTATACAAAATCTTATTTATAAATGAATTTTAATTAAAATTATATCCAGATGTTGGCAACGGGAACCCTGGTCCTTCTCCTAGCCCCCTACAGAGGCAAATACATCGAGTTCATATCGGTGATTATGTGAATGTTGGTGTCACCAACCGACGCGACATGTCCACCTGTCACGTCGTTACTCCAAATGGTGAAGACTTGGTTATCACACCGGACATGAATTATCCCCACATCGAAAGAAGTTCAGCCAATCCATGCAGTGTCGTCATCAAGGATATCACAAGAGATATATTGGGCGATTGGCTTATTTATGGGAGATTTAATCAAGGAATATTAGGGTTTGGAGATATTCGCCTGCCATTTACTTTGGAACTTTATTGTGAGTTTAAAGAAGCATTACATACTAGTTAATAAAAACTTAAGTAAATAATACTATATATATTTTATTACATGTCAATAATTAAATTATTGCAGATGATGTTAATGCATACAATATAATTTCACTCGAAAATCAAGCGCATGAAGTTAAAGTAGGTTCTGATATCACTGTCGAGGTAACTCACTCCGTGGGTACAGTTGAAACCTGTATTTACATATCTCCTTCTGGTTTGGAATTTAGTAGCGCTAGTGACATTTCTGCTGCACCTAAAGGAATTCAATTCAGAAGTGTAAATGATTATGGCGTTTGTGGGATCACCTTCACCGCTGTCACCGAAGACATGTTCGGTGAATGGCAGATTATTGGCCGGTTTAGGAATGGAAATGTAATTGATGAAAAACGTCTTACGTTTAATATTACTGAAAAAGGTAAGCTAATAGATCATTTCTTTTAAGATAGCAATTATATCCCTGACAGTTACTACTACCTATCTGTAGATAATAGATATTTCAATATAGATAGATATGAAACTACGTAATTAAATTCTTAAACTTAATAATCATCAAAATCAATTATAAATTGAGTGAAAACTTAATCAGTCATAAGCTCGTGCTTAGATCTATCTGCCACATTGGTATTTCTAGCTATTGGTTTCTCAATTTCACCATAAGCACCCATCTGTAATTCGTTCGTTCGTTCCCCTCTAATCCTGCGATTCTCTCTAAGTAACAACGAGAGTGGACGAGTTCGTTCCTTCTTATTGATATGGAACCGATGGGTATATAAAAAAAGTGATGTCCCAAAATATATATTAATATAATAACTTGAGATACACGGTCTCTCACACACGGCCACCTGATCCGGCCGGCATTCCTTGTGCTGTGATAATCAAACTGTTGATAAACACCTACATAATTACACCCGGATAAACATGTACTTATTATCGTGCTGCAAAAGGCTGATCCTCATGGTAACAGAAACACTCTCAAATTACATAGAAAATACAAAATCGAATCTCTTTGATGTTTACTTAATTTATAATCTATGTCCAAATAAAATCACTACAAAACGGTAGCCAGAAATGTTGGCTAGGACCCGGTGGTTCCGACACCCTTACTCCTACATTAATATTTTAATTTTTTTAGCCATCGTCGAAGATGATATTAATATGTTGAATCAAATCAATCATTTCGCACTACAGGATGCGTTGGTAGATATATCCTTGAACAAGGAATCTTTTGAAGAAAAGTGCTATATACGTCCTCCTAACGGCGAATTCACGAAAGCTCATCGTTTTAAAATGGAAGGAGTAACGGTTCAAAAGAAAAGTAATTTCGTTTCTTGCAGAGTTACTATCGGTACTTTTACTGAAGATATGTTCGGATTATGGACACTGTGTGGCAAATCTCTTCTAAGTGAGGAAATCCGCTGTCAGCCTGCAAACATTGCATTGAGTAAGTTGATTTATAATATATTTTAATTGAGTATAAAGCTTTAGGAACAGTTATTAACTAATTTTAGTCCCACTTATATAATAAGTGCGAAGCCTATCGATGTTAACTGCAAAGAAAGAAAAACAGTTAGGAAGGAAAGGATAGGAAGGGGACATTGAAATTATTTTTGAGGTTAAAACTTCTACAGCCGCCTTAAGTGAGTCCTCGATGACCTCGACATGTTCATGACGTATTGCGCCAGCTAAGTAGGTTTATTTTGACTTTGGGTTTATAAATGAAATGCGTATATCGTATAAGTATTAGCACCAGCTGTCACTAAGGTTGAAAGGTCGATCGTTTATAAATTGTTTTTTTAAGTGACATGTGACATATAAATGAGACGGAATTTTCAATTAGAATTGATGCTATATTGTTGTAAATTAAATATACTTTACTCTTAAGTCTGTCTTTTGTTTCATAATTGGATAACCGATTATGATTTATCGTTGCCATTTTTAATCAATCTATTAGTAACTTTTAACTTTCTGCATTCCTATAAATGAATAAAAATAGTTCCTGAATTTGATTGACACAGAATAATTCTTATTCAGTATTTACTCTACTAAAATGTATTATTCAATATGATTGAAAAAATAAGGCACGCAGTTTCTATACTTAACTAAAAAAAATAAAAGATGTTTTTTTAAATTTATTTATAGGCGTAGTTTGTAGTATTATTATTGTTAGTAATAAAATTATAGTTGATCATGTTTGGTATTATACTTATAGAATATGAATTATATTGTAATTAAAGTAATAGCTAATGTACTGCAATATACAGTATTTTAGTACGAGTATTTACTGTCTAATTTGAAAATTGACAACTTTCGGAAAGATATCAATAAAATACACCGTCACTGGATTTCAACTTTTGTTTTTACACTTGTATCTTTAGTTATTATCTTCTCTGTATGTATTAACGTTATAGGAACTGCAAATTGGGTAATTCATAACCGAGCACAGTTTACACATCCAGTCCACTTTGGTGGTTCTGTCAATTCTGGTGTCTCTGAAGGTGGTACCGTTGAAAATTGCCACGTCGTTACTCCAACTGGCGAAGATTTGGTCTTAACAAGTGACGTCAATTATCCTCACATTAAAAGAGTTAACAGTGCTAGCGTGTGCAGTGTCGTCATCGAAAACATAACAGAGGATATGTTAGGTGCATGGCTTATTTATGGCACATTTAATTCCCCACTTAGACGAACTGAAGGTCGTCTTCCATTGATTTTCAACCTTTTCGGTAAGTTTGATTTTATTGCAATAATAAGGCATTTGAAAAGTTTAAGAAAAATATCTCCAATTGTTTATTATAGCATTGTTAACTTACAATTTACAATAGTATAATAATTCGAAATCAAAGTTTCAATGAGATTCACGTGATCTCATGTTCTTGTAAACGAACATTCGCTTACACTTCACGTTAACTTTTTATATTTATTATTACAACACACATACTCAAAATAGAAAAACTAATTTAGTAGCACAAATTTGGTTAAAATCACTATCGATTTCATAGTCATAGTCATTTATTCATCAACAAATTACATTGTATTTGAAATTAAAATAATTAATAAAATAATAGTAATAATATTTAAACTAAAAAAAATCACAACTAATAATTAGTAGTAATTGATTTGTAAATTTTAGATGAGAATAATCCACACGCTCAAGCTTACAATGTCACTGTCCTCCAAAACCAAAATCATTTGGTACATGTTGGTACTAACCTGACACTTGAAGTGCAACAACGAACAGGCGATCGGCAAGATTGTATTTACACAGCACCATCAGGAAAAATATTCAGTATAAACGATAACAACTCCGTCGAACCTCGAGGAGTTCACTTTAGTACCTTGAATACTGCACCAATTTGTCAAGTTGAATTTAATCCGATCACTGAAGAGGCAGTTGGGGAATGGCAGATCTCTCTGAGATTCAGAAATGGAGTCCTATTCAATGAAATACGTCAGACCTTCAGAATTATTGAGGAAGGTGAGCATAAAATATCTATTTGTTATCACTACACACCTCCTTAAATTCAAGTATTTACAGTGTACGCACATAAAGAATATGTATTTATATGTTTATTTATTTGTATATATATGTGTAATTATATTATATTCTAATTTCATAATATATATGTGTAATTGTATGAACTATATAAATTTTGTTTAGTTTTATATGCTTATTGATAAAGAAACATATTTACAATCACTGATTACAATTGTAACCTCGGTGCACCTACCCTACAAGATTTCTACACCACTGGTTGACTGGTAGAGAATGCCCAGCAGGGCAAGGGCATTAAGTCCATGTCGGGGTACCAGGGATTGGCTACTGGTACCCGAGACGGCATGCGGTTTTTAGTCGGTCGAGTCCGACATAGCCACCGATGGTGATATCTGAGGGGATTTCCAGAAAAAAATAAGTGAGGAGGAGAAAAAACTAAATAAAAAGGGCATTAAGTCCACCGATGTACATAAGTGCACGAAAATGTAAAATAAAATCAATAAATAAATCACTCTACGCCAAGAATAGTCTTATGGATTTAGCCATACAGTATATAATGACTGAGTATTCATATATTTTATTAAATTTATGTAGGTTTATCCTTTCTAAGGAAAGGCCTATGTCCAGCAGTGGACTATTAAAGGCTGTTGATGATGACGATGATGTAGGTTTATACGTACGTATACCGTAACGTACATACCGTTTACTTATGTATGTGTGTTTATATATTGTGTACGTCTCTAGACTTTACCAGTAATTATGTTAAATTTAATACCTTATTTTGCACCAACCGCATCATATCTCTACATCACCTGAAGATTGACTGGGGGATAATGCCTATTGGCATTAAGTCCGCCTTTGTAAAAGAAATGCATTAAGGTTTAAATAAATAATAAATATACGAGTAGTAGTATTATAGTAGTATATAGCTAAACGTTCAGTTACAGGAATCATTGTTCCAAAACTGTTATGGATGGTGATTTGTACACCCGTTTAAAAAAAGCTAAGTTTTAGTCTTACTCTTAAACATTTTCTCATATTTTAATTTTTTTAAACCAAAGTTAGATGTGTACATTGATATCTCATGGGAGAGCTAAGTTTCAGCACAAATGGGTACTGATACTGGTATCATTCCGGTCAAGCTAGCTACACAAAGAGATGCCTAACACCAGTTCCCTGTGAGGTCCTCAGAGATGCTTAACTGGTGTTAAGCATCTGTTTCGTTGCTTATCAACGATTGAATGAAGTTGCTAACCTAACCACTCCACCCGGGACTCAAAGGACGACGACGCACCTATGAATCTTGAGTTACAGGTGTCCATGGGTTAAGGGTGTCCAGATGACCCGTCAGCTTGTTTGCCCCTCGACGTCATAAAAAAGATTATTCGTACTTTTGTTTACTTTAACGTATTTTCACGTATCTCTAGGTACAGTGTTAACGATACATTACTTTCATTATTTACATCCCAAAATGTTCATAATTTGTCTTAAAATCTTAAAATCAAAAATACCTAAACCAATTTTTTTATTGCAACTTATCTTGATAAATTTATTTATTTATAGATCCGGAAAATCCACTACAAGAAAATGTTGTAAGGACTGTTCAATATTTAACTACGCAGAATATAAATACTAAAATGAACACGAGCCATAGATTTACAATCAACAGTGCATCAATTATACAAGGTGAAAGCTGTCATATCATCGCTCCGGATGGCCGACAATATGCTTTTATTGACGGATTCAACGTCCCCAATGTAGAAATCATAAATGAAGACTTTGTAGAATGCGGCGTCATTCTGCATGTAGTGGAGGAAAATATGATAGGCACTTGGACTATTTTAGGCAGAGCAAGAAGTTTGTCTGATTCTATTGAACGAAGACTGCCAGTTACTATCCGTGTTGAAGGTAATCAGACATAAATATGTAATAAATGTATGCGTATCAAGTCACGTAAACGATTAAAATGATTAAAACAATGTTAACTAATGATAACAAACAATAAGCTTCATTACGAAATATGTTGTTTCAGAAAACTTTGTTTTACAAAATGATATTCATATCAAGGAAGGATCTGATTTATATCTACACTTAAATGAGGCCATTACTCTACCTGAAACTTGCACGCTGATCGGCCCTGATGGCAATGAAATCGCGAACGTAGAATCTGATCCAATCTACGCGTCTGCATGTGGATATATAATCAGGGATGTTAATCAGACTTATGATGGAACATGGATTATTGAATATGGCGCAAGAATTAAAAAAAGAGGCAGTGTCAACGTTCAAATTCTAGGTAAATATTCCTAAAGGATTGAAATTATGGTTTATGAATAATGATACAATACCGCTCTGATAGGGTAGTAACGGGTGAAGCCTCCTAAAAGACTAAACTTGTATGAATACCTCTTTTAGCTGGTAGTTTAGTGTAACAACCTAAGGTTCACGAAGCGACAATACTTTGCCGGGTTTCTCGGGGACTTCCTTCTTTATTTATACCTGAATCTCTTGTAATAGAGGGTTTATTAGTTTATTTACCGACCGAGTGGCCGTGTAGTCACATACCAGAACCCGTTATTTTGTCATTTAGAAAAGAGGGACTAATTTGAATCGTCATAACATTGCTCTTGTTAATTCTCTTGCACTCTTGACTACAAATTATAATATTATTTAAGTACTGACCTTAACTAGCTAATTACGGCCTTCATTACCATTGTATATAGTACTTTTTTCTATAAAAACACAGCTCAAGTTTTGCAAAACTTATTTTACAATCACGTGTAGTAGTTACCTGTTGGTTACTTCAGCACTGAGGTGTGTCTTTTTAAAATTTTGTAGGTATAACCCACAAATACTTCGCCAGAGTCGGTGTATTGGTTGAATCCAATTTAAGTATTTGAATGTTTGTAGAGTCCTTCGGACATATGAATAATTCTTAGAACTGAAGTTGCCTTGCAAAATACTGTCCGTGCCCAAATTAACATTCATTTTTGCACAGATCCTACAGCTCTCTCCCTCCACAATCTACAATGGAGCATAGGCGATTCAGTAGACATATCAGTCGGCCCTGAAAATGCTGTGTACTGCGTAATCAAAGACGTTACTGGAAACATTGTGTTTGATGACTTTGGACAGTGTAAGATTGTTCTCGACAGAGTGTCTGTACACCACAGAGGAAATTGGACCATGCAAATCGGTAAACCAGGGACGGTACGACTACAAAGCTACAATTTCTATGTGGAAGTGCATTCAGTAGGTAAGGCTATGAAATATTTTTATTTAGACATCGATTAATTAACAACAAAGACTATTCTAGAACCTAGACTCAAATTAGGCTTAACTTATTATGTGGGTTCTAGAACACAAATTACATACATACTACGTAGGACACCAGCACTGCAAAGAGAAGGAAAACTTAAAACAACCCCTTTTTTTTTTTTTTTTTTTTTTTAACGTGTGGAAATCCCCTCGGACCGTCACCCCTCCGGGGTTTGCGGCGGGGTGGTGTGTCGGACTCGGACCGACTAAAACCACACGGTGTGCCACTCTGCGCCTGTAACAGGAGGGATCCGGGAACAGCTGTTGTTAAGACATCCGGACCCCTCCTAGCGCCAGCCCGCTCCTGGTGCGGGCTCCGTCTCGATATTTTCCTCTCTTTTTAGGCGACGTCCGGCACACGCGGACGCCGCCCCCTCGCGGCTGGCCAAACTAATGCGGGTGGAGGGGAAACCCACCCCGTCCACCCGCGGCCACACTCAGGGCGGCATGAGGCTGTGATAGCCGGGCCTCCGCCGCCCGGTTCGCCGGCGGCGGATCGGGTCCGAGTGGAGGTCGTCCTCCCGGGCCCTCTCCGCCGCCTCCTTCCGCGAGATTACTACCTCGCAGAAGGTTGCGACCGCGGTAAAACAACTGTCGCTACCGGCCATGGAGCGTACTACGGCCGGTAGCGAGAGATCCACTCCGATGACTGCAGTGAGGGCCCGGCGCTGCGCCGCCCATGCGGGGCAGACCGCCAGCGTGTGCTGGGCCGAGTCCTCACTGCAGTCGCAGTGGTGGCAGGCGGGACTCAGTTCCCTCCTAGCGACCGTGTGCAGGTACTTTCCGAAGCAACCGTGCCCGGAAAGCACCTGCGTCAGTCGGAAGGAAAGGGTCCCGTGCTGCCGCCCTGCCCACTCGGCGATGACCGGCTGGAGAGCCTCCACGGCGGCGAAGCCAGCGCGTGGAGTCTCCAGCCGGAACGACCAACGAGCCATCGTGGCTCGGCGAGCGGCTTCGCGCCACTCGCGCACATCCTCGGGCGGAGGGCGAAATCCGCTCTCCGCCCGGGAGTCAGCCACTCGCCGATAAACTTCGGCGAGCACTTCCGCCTCCAAATCCCACGGGGGAGTTCCGGCCAACGCGCATGCCACCTCCGTAGAAACGGTGCGGTAACCGCGTATGGCTCTGACCGCCATTACCCTCTGAGGGCGCCAGAGGCGTACCCTATTCTGGGCGGTCAGAGCCGCCGCCCACACCGGTGCACCGTACAGCGCCATTGACCGGACAACCCCCGTGTACAGCCGTCTTGTCGCGACGCTGGGTCCACCCATATTGGGCAAAAGTCGCCCTAGGGCAGACGCAGCGCCGACCAGCTTTGGAGCAAGCTGTCGGAAGTGCTCGTCGAAGAGCCACCTCCCGTCGAGGATCAGGCCCAGATATTTCATCTGGGCCCGAACCGGTACGAGGACCGAGTTGACCACGATTGAGGCGCCAGGGGGTGGACCACGACGGGGCCCATGAAATAACAGGGCCTCCGTCTTATCTAGGGCCACCCGTAAGCCCAGCGCCTCAATGCGCCCGACCACCAGGGAGACTCCCCCTGTGGCCAGGCGCGCCGCCTCTTGGAAGTTTGCCCCCCGGGCTGTCACGAGGGTATCGTCTGCGTAACAGATTACACCCAGCCCGGGGGGGAAATCGGCGCGAAGGGCCCAGTCGTACCCTATGTTCCACAAGAGGGGTCCAAGAACAGACCCCTGTGGAACACCGCACGACATGGGCCGACTCCTCAAATTACCTTCTCGGTCCTCGTACACGACGGTACGCTCCTCTAAATAGTCTGCCACCAGCCGCCTCAGGTACTTTGGCACCCCATGATAGTGGAGTGCTTCCCTGATGCAGCTGAATGGCAGACTATTGAATGCGTTGGCGATGTCCAATGACACCGCCAACAGCACGCCGCCACAGCTCACGGCCTCTTCGGTCACGGCCCTCAGGCGCAACACGGCGTCGACTGTCGAACGCCCCGCCCGAAAACCAAATTGGGCGTCCGACAGATCGGGGCCCACCTCGCAGAGGTGCCGGACGATGCGGGCAGAAAGAACCCTCTCAAACAATTTGCCCGCCTCGTCCAGCAGCACGATGGGCCTATAGGCCGCGACCGAATCGGCAGGCCGTCCCGGCTTCCTCAATAGGACCAGCTTCCCGCTCTTCCAGCACTCAGGGAAGCATCCCGACGCCAAGCTAGCGTCGAACACCTCCCCGAGGCGGTCTGCCAAGTGGTTGAGGGCCAGGGCCAGCACTCGGGCCAGTACCCCGTCTGGCCCAGGGGCGGTGTTCTTGGAACGGATCCGTAGAACAGCCGCCCCTACCTCCGAATCCCGGACGGGCGGAACATTTTCCTCCCCGTGCTCCCCGTCGTCTCCGGCCAAGGAGGCCATCGCCGGGGGAGTGTGTTCCGCTCGTTGCGGGAAAAGGCCCTCAACCACTTCTCGCAGGAAGCTGGGCTGGAGAGTCTCCGTAAGGGGGGGGCCCGACGCGCGGAGCTTTTGTCGCACCGCGCGGTAAGGGCGACCCCAGGGGTCACGATTAAGACCCTCCAGCATCTCCTGTCTTTTTTCTTCTTTGGCGCGGCTAATGGCCAGCTTCAGAGTTTTCCGCGCCCGTCGGTATTCCTCATGAAGCCGGTCCTCCTCACCGTCTCCACGGTGACGCCGCCGACTGCGCGTGTAGGACCTCCGGGCACGTGTACAGGCCGCACGGAGGTCCGCCAGCTCCTGGGACCACCAGTAGATCTCCTTCCTTGGAGGCCGACGACCTCGAACGCGGGGCATGGCCGCATCGCATACATGCGTAATCGCATCGCGAAAGCGGCCAGCCCCCACGTCGACCTCCTCGGTCGGAGCCTGAGGAGACAGCCACGAGTGAATTATGGCTGCCTCCTCTAGTAGGTCCCGGTTCAGCCTGGCAACAGCCCACCGCGGAAAGCGGGATAAACGCCGCGCCACGTGACCCCTACTGGAGTCCTGGGTCCGGGAGAGCTCAAATCGGATATACAGGTGATCCGAGAGCGTCTCAACCTCTTCCAGGACACACCAGTTCCTTACTCGTGCGGCGAGGGCAGGGGTAGCGAACGAAAGGTCCACTATCGACCCCCCCTGCTGTCGCACGCACGTGTTGGTGGAGCCTCTGTTTAGAAGACAGAGGCCCACCGAGGCCGCCCACTCCTCTACGGCCTCGCCCCTGGCGTCCGTCCTGGGGGAACCCCACGCAATGGACTTTGCGTTGAAGTCCCCCAGCACAAGGACGTGCCCAGACGCTAGTCGCCGTATCGAGGTCTCCAAGCTGGTTAGGAAAACCTCGAAGTCGTTTCAAACTCCGGTTGGGGGAGAAATAGGACACCATATATGGTGATCCCCCCCCCACTCGACGGCAACATATCCAGTGCCCTTGTCTCTTAGCGACAAGGGCGGGGAATGAGCCGTCGTGGAACCGACGACTGCCACGGAGCCGTCCCAGTCACCCATCCAGTTTGGACGGGGAGGGACAGAATAGGGCTCCGCGACTACGGCAACACCTATCGACCACTGTGCCATGGTTTGCAGGAAGAGATCCTGCGCCGCGGCACAGTGGTTCAGGTTCGTCCTGGACCAGGAGGTTGGAGACTTGATCCATTACTGGATCGTCTCTACAACCTCCTCCATGGGCGACGACGTCGACGCACGAACTACATCGGAGGCAGCCTGGGTCGACTGGCTAACCCCCGACGTCTGCCGAGAACTGCGGGGAGGCTTGCAGCCTCTCTGCCCCATCTGGTGATTGGCGGCTTATTGCCCGCCGCACACACTGGGCAGTGAGGGGCGGCAGAGCATTCTGCCGCCTTATGCCCCGGTTGACCGCAGCGGAAACACAGTCCGCCGCAGTCAAAACAACTGTCGCACTTGACGCGCGTGTGTCCCGATGCTAGGCATTTGTAGCATCTCATCGGTCTCGCCGCCAGGACTGTGATCCTGGCGCTCACGAAACCGATGAGCAGCCTGCCGGCGTCGGCCAATACTTTGGCCGACGCTACGGGACAGCTGACCCACACGGCGCCAAGCCCTCCTGGACCGGGGCGGATGGTGCCGACCCTGACGTTGTCCGCGCTGCACCCCGTCTTCTCCCGGATTACAGCGCGGACATCTTCGGCCGTCACAGAGTCGTCCAGGCCCGAGATGCGCAGCTCTGCGCACTTAGTAGGCCTGGCGATCTTTACACCATCCGTGGCTGTAAAGAGTCCCCGCAGCTTCTCGGCAAATGTGTCCGCCGTCTTAGCGCCTTCAGCCCCAGGGAACTCGAGGACTCGAGCTCCCGTCTGGGCGAGGGCGCATTCTGACCCCCACCGTTCCAAAATCGTTGGCGAGGCTGTCCCGGGCCTTTTTGAAGACGGCCGCGTAGGACAGCCCGCCGTCCGCCGCCTCCGGGGACACGGTCACCACTACAGCCGCGGTTTTGGGCGGCTGCAGCTTCCGCGGCCTCTTTGTGGAGGCCGTTGCCACCGGTGGCGAAGGCTGGGCTTGGGCTGCTTTTTTGGCAGCCTTTTTGGCCCGCCTTCGGGACTTCTTGGAGCCCCTCGCCTCCTGCCAACCCTCGTTGGAGGGGGCAGGTGCGGAGGGGCCCGGCAGGGGTGTCGGAGTGGGGAGCGGAGGGAATGCCACTCCCGCTCCTCGGCGCCGTTTTAGGCCCCGTCTTGGCCGGCGCCTGGGGATGTGCCTTGGCCGGCGCCTTAGCCGGTGCCTTGGCCGGCGCCTGGGCCGGTGCCTTGGCCCCCCTCCTCGGCTTTTGGGGAGCCGATGGAGTCGGGGCAGACGCCGCCGCCGCGTAGGAGGACGCGGCCTCCCACTACGGGGAGCGCGGTCGGAGCGGCGGCCTTAGGCCGCTGTGTCGACGCGAGCGGGGGGGGCGCACAACCGGCGCAGGGGGCAGTCTCGCCTCCAGGCCAGCCAGGCGTCCGTCCCAGCA